TTTGTGAATTTACTTGACAACTGCCATTAAAAACAAAGTGAGGTTTTCTACTGAAACATAGTTTGAATTTAACGTTAGTAGATATTCAAATAGTATTAGACACAGTCATTGTGAAAGACTCTGCCTATGGCTCCACATATTTATCGATAAAATATAATATTATTTATTTCCTCAGATGCTTGTCTGAAGTAAATACATAAATACATATAAAACTCTTGTACCAGGGCCTGACAGAAAGTGAACAGATGAATACTAGCTGATTTTTGCTGTGAATAGTTGTTGTGGTATTGGTTGTTTTTTTGTTTTTTTTTTTTTTTTTTCTTTTTGATGGCACAGAATCTCTTTCATGAGTGAAAGTAAAACTCCCAGGATAGCTAGCCTACTATGTACATATATTTCCAAGCTAAAGAGCTTTGCTCGTATTGTAAAACTTGAGATGAGGAAAGAAGCTCTAATCTACCCAAACCCTTTGATTCTGCTGATCTCAGCACTGTATCAATTCCTTTAAAATACTGACCAGTCAGCTGCATGCCTTGTAAATTGTTATCCTTGTTAAGACAATTAAACTGTGAAATTCCACTAATTTAACATAAGAATAATAGCATTGTTCTTCACAATAACATTGAAAAGAGTAGCTAATATTTACTTGAGTGCTTGCTCCACTCCAAGTTTTCTATTATAAGCACAAATTGAAATAAAATCTTCATGTGGTGGATATTATTATCCTGTTTTGCAGATAAAACACCAGGCTTCAGCAAGGTAGAGGAACTGGCATAAGGTCTCAGGCTTGCTTGCCAGTAGGTGAGCTGGAATTCTCTCTGAAACCTGAGTTGAGGTCCAAATCCTTAGCTCTCATTTGTTATCATTTCCAAGCATGGAACAGAAAACCAAGACAGGTTAAAGTGAGCCATTCATGTCTACTCAGAGAGTCATAACCAAGTATAACTATATACATATAGCTCTTCACCTCTAAATTCAGTGCTCAAAGTTAAGGCACAAAAGCATTTATCAGTGCATGATAATTAATTCAAGACTATCTTTAAAATTTCTAAAGTAATGCAGGTCTTTATTTTAAAAAGTCAGTATCTGAATGGCAAATGTTTTCCCACCTATTTCACACACTCCCACTCCCTGTGGGAAAAGCCTTATCTATCAGCCACCAGAGCTCCAATACCATCTCCACAAACCCTAGAGAGACATAATCTTTGAGGCACATCTGTGTACCTTAAGAAGCAGTGAACTTTCTCTTCTCTAATGGATTAGTGTTTTGATACATCTCAAAATAGAGAACAATACCCTGGCATCAAAAACCACAAATGGAAAAAGTCAGCAAAAGAAAGGAACAATAGGGTGTCTTTTACCCCAAATTACATAGACTAAGAAGAAAAAGGCTCAATAATTCACAGGCATGACATGACTTTCCTGGGTGCTTAAATAACAGCACCCAGATTAAATCAAGTTTACATACAGACTTTTAAATTTATATTCTATAACTTATCTGTTACCTTTGCACTATTGTTCCATTTTCAGGAATATTATCAAGATCAAGTATAATATTCAGTGATGGTCTACCTAAAATATCAAGTCTTAGAATACAGAAACACAAACAAGATGCTCCATTTTTGCATATGAAAGTTGAAAGAACATTTTAAAAATTCATAACAAATGTTGGAGGCAAGATAAATGACCATTAAAACAATGTATTGAAATTATATGGCAATTAAAAATTAAAACAAAAATGAAACAAGCAACCAAAACCACTGAAAACATATTTTATGTCTTCATCCCTCTAATACTTGTGACAGAAGCCCATGAAGAAAGGAGGTAGAATTTAACATTTTGAATTGCTTTTCAAAAAAATCAGTATCCCAAAAGAAACCTTGATTCCCCAGACAGGCCTAAATGAGTATGCAGTAATATCACCAACTATTAGGTGATATTACAACTTTCTTTGTAAATAAGAAAAAATGCACATGAGTATTTGTAAAGTGATTCATGATTGAGTGTCATATTATTTCAAAAAGAAGCAAAAATAGCTTAGACATGAATTTTAAGAAGATTTAGAATAGTTACAGCTCTCATTTCTCTAATTGAACTAGATTTAGGTCATTTTAAGAGTAAGTCTAACTTTAGAAAAGTAGAATCATTATGAAATCTGGGTCAAATGAAGTAGTAGTGTAAATCAGAAAGCTATAAGTCTATCTAAAATTGCTTTTCTGTGTCCTGGAGTAACCTTTCAATGAATGCAAAAAAGGGAAGAAAAAAAATATAAGCTGTGTTTCTCCTCAAGATAGATCCCCTTGGAAAATGATTTGACCTCTGGAGAGATTTAACTCAGGCATTATTCACTCTAAAAGTAATTTATTTCCCACAAAATGAATTTGAATACAAGGTTTCCCAATGTTTAGGCCAGTTTGTCATTTATGTGCATACATATTTGCACATTTTCCTAGAGAAATAGACCAGAAATGGTCTAGAATTCTACATTTTGATGTATTTTAATTATATGTCTCAAATATAATTATGATTATTGTTATTGCTATATGACTATAATCTGATAACTAGGTTTAAAAAAGTGAAGGAAGAATTTTTTCAACTCTTAACAAACATTTATTGAGTGTCTACACTGTGCCAGGCAGTGATCTTGATGCTGGACTAGTGAGCAACTTCCCTGAGTGTGTAAAGCATAGATTCTAGTATGCATTCATTTTTTTGTGTGTCTGCACACACAGGAGGATTGCCCCTACTTTTCTCTATATCTTCTTGAATTTCATCATCAGCAAGACACCCAATTCAATCATAAGATAATAAGTCTTTAACATTGCACTAATTCCATATCCTTCAATTTTGTAATGTTCAATGTCATATTCATGAGACAACATAACTAGCAATATACCCAGTTTCTATGTCAGAAACATCCAATTCTATTAAAGTGGTGATTGCATGGGTGACATGTTAGTATTGATCAACAGAACCATTTGCATCATTTGGCTCAGAAAATGTTCACTCCTGATCAATATCTAGTCCCAGAGGATCACCCAAGTATTATAATCTAAATGAACAGGAAAAATAAAAACAAATGATAGGACTGGGTGACATGAAAGTCATGGTGAGAGGTTATGAACTTGGAAAATCTTCCATGAAAAGTAATTTCTCTACCTCTAAATATTGCCAAAGAAAGGCAATCACAAATAAACTTTCCCAAGGCTTACATGTTCTTTCTTTTTTCAAGATAACATTTCTAGAAATTAATGCAGTTCCCTTTTTGTTATTGCTTAAGCTCATTTTCTCTTCTTTTGTCATCAATAGATGCTTGTCAAGTCATCGTATGTATTTATTCAAAGAATAAAGGATATTATGTTCTTTATAATAATCCTTGATGATAAAGGAAAACTGAAACTACAGGCTCTGTATTGAAAAGATGTAACATTTATTGTGTAAATCAAGTATAAAAACCAGATATATGTCAGCTTACATCCTATCATGTAAAAATTTAGAGGTAAAATCTCTGTTAGATATGAAAAAGAGCTGATTTTATATATCCATATACATATATGATCATGCAGCTTGAAATAGTTTATATTTATCCACCTCTCACATGCAGTGGGCATGGGACTGATTGCTTTCATGTAGATTTTCTCACTTACATTGCGTTTTCTTATTTAATCATTGCAATCATCTCGTGAAGTGTTATCTCCTTCAAAAAGAAAAAGCAAGGTTTAGAGAGATAAGACCTTTAGATAATTCTGGAGCTGGAATTTGAACTCAGGGAATCCAATACCAGAGTTTTCTCTCTGGTAAAAATAAAAAAGTAAAGCATTAACTGACAAATCATATCAGAATGTTCATCAGCTTGAACTAAAAATCATATGTCTTAGTTCAGCTAACCATGGGTTTGAAGAGTATAACTCCTATTGGCTGGATTGACATCACACCACTCATCAATCAGATACAGGCTGCCATACTTTTCCTAGTATAAAAGAATTTTATAGTTAAAAAAATTTATAGTTAAAAGAATTTATAGTTATCTGGAATAGATAGTTGAGATGGGTTATGTGTTTCAGAAATGTGATTATCTACTGTATGCATTTTGTAGAGAAAGTCTGTGATTCTCTCTTTATCCTTATGTAAAATACCTATGAATTTATTAAATGTGATGTGATAGCAAATGTATGATACTGAAAGTCCTGCCAGTGAATTTATACAGTGTGTTATTTGGAGTCCAAAAAGCCCTAAGACTATCAACAAGCTATCAGAACTGCCTAGCCACTTTAGGTGAAGTACCTTGGAAAATGAGAGTATAGGACAACCTTTACCTGGTATTTGCATAAATTAAGAGTAAAATGAAATACCAGGAACATGTATTGAACAATTTAGAGTAAATGCAATGTTCCACACTTGGCAGTTCTACCTTACCTAACTGTATTCAGTTATTAAATCAGGGCAGGGCAAGAAAGTCTCTAAATCTTAATTACATTTTGTGAATTTCTGGAGAAATTTCAGGGTGCTTCCCACTTCAACTTGCTATAATCATTTTGCAAAGTAAATAAGCACAGTGACTGTACAGATTACAGAAGAGATCCTACATTTTAAGGCACTTGTATAAAAGGTATCCAATTTTAATTACTTTAGTGATGGAAAAACTGAATAACCACAATACTTATATTTAATTTTAGAAGTACAAATAGCCTTTATAAATTTAAGTCTTCACATGCTAATTTAGACATGATAATGAAGTTTCCAGGCAGGTTTCAGTTTCTGTGTGAGATGTAAGCACAGTTACCCACCTTTACACATTATTTGGCCCGAATTCGAGTAGTTACTGTTTAATAAGCTGATAGTTGAAGTTTATTTGTTTGGGAAAAAGTTCTTTATGCAAAACAGCAGAATTAACTAATAGTTTGGTTTTCTTTCATGATCTACTTGCAAGTTAAATGATAAGAAGTTCCAGCTATTAAAACATGGAATCCAATTTCTCACTGCTATTCTCTGTTAATAGGTTGTATATAAAAATAACGATGTAAGACTGGAATTATCTCGACTTGCCAAGCAAGGAGATCCTAAGATGAAGATCCATGGAGTGGTGGCATTTAAATGTGAAAACGTTGCAACTTTAGACCCAATCACTTTTGAAACCCCAGAGTCATTCATCTCTTTGCCTAAATGGAATGCAAAGAAAACAGGCTCCATATCATTTGATTTCCGAACAACAGAGCCAAATGGCCTCATCTTATTTAGCCACGGCAAGCCAAGACACCAAAAAGATGCCAAGCACCCACAAATGATAAAGGTTGACTTCTTTGCCATTGAGATGCTGGATGGCCACCTCTACCTCCTCCTGGACATGGGGTCAGGAACTATAAAAATAAAAGCCCTGCAGAAGAAAGTAAATGATGGAGAATGGTATCATGTGGACTTCCAGAGAGATGGACGGTCAGGTAATATAACATTTTTCTATGCTGTTTATCTAGAACATCCCATTTACCCCCTGCCATTCCTGAGAATTAAAACCAAGCATATGAATGATTTTCTATATTCTTTTCAACAGGAAACTATTTGCTATTGTTTCTGTTTTGCATCGCACAAAAATCAGGAGCTAATTAATCATCATGGTTGAGCATCAAATGCTCAAATGGCTTCTAAAAAGGCTCCTTATGCAAAGATTCATTGGGTAATCAAGTGCCAAATCTTGCAAAAAATTTTATCTTGAATTTTCAAATGACAAAATTCAGGCTCAATTATCACGTACGTCATTTGGTTTGGAAGTACCCAAACTGGGAAATATAAAATATGAAAGCATTAAAAATGACCCACACCTAAAATCCTTAGTTTTATCAAGCAGGGAAGAGGAAAAAAACCTATGGTATTAAAAAAATATTAATCAATACTGTAATGTTCAAAATTCTGCTGTCCAATAAATAGCTTTCCTTTAAAAATGTTTGAAATTCTGCCATAGGCATTTGTTCCTCTGGCTTCCTTTTCTTGTACTTTATTGCTGTAAGAAGGGAGGATGAAGGTGGCAAGGGAAATTTCCCTGAAGAAATAACATTTACACTGAAATTAAGAGTTGCTTAGAGGGATTAAAGTTGGTCTAGAGTGTGGAGGAGAAGAATTATCTAGATAGAGAACTGACATTTGTGGGAATCAGAGAAGCAGGAGGGAATGAGAGAAGGAAGGAAGAAAGGGAGGGAGGGAGGAGAGAGAAATATGTCTGATATTTCTTTTAGTCTCTTCACCCAGTGCTTGATTGTCTTTTTCATTTATAAATGAAGTTCATAGAAGATACCTAATTTAGGCCTATCCACTCCCCACTGCTCCCTTCCTGGACTCTTATTTCTTTAAATACTAAGCCTACTCTGGATTTTCTACTAAATAAGAATGTAAACTTCTACTAAACATTTTTTTTTATGAGCCTGAGTTTCTTCATCTGCGAAGTAATTGGGAAAGACCATTCCAAACCCAGTGAAGGGGAATCAACATGATGGTGTTTGCCAAATTTAGAAACTATAGGCCAGATGGAAAACTCAGCAATCTGTGATTATTGTCCTATCACAGAAGAGCCATGCTGAAGCCCTGGCCCAAGCTCTTCTTCCCGTTCTCCTTGAATGTGTTCTCTTTCCACTTGTTCCTTCCTTCCCCTGCAGTGGAACCAGTTTCTATCTTCCTACTTATATTGATCGAGAAGATTACATTTACCTTTCTAAGGATATATTTTCATGCAATAAAATTTAAAAATGGAAAGAATGAAAATTAGGAGGCAGCTGACGATGAGGGTGAAGAATAGAAAGAGGGTCAGAACCCGTTATGCTGAACCCTAGAATCTCAGAAACTTTTTTCTGATTCCTCTCTCACTGGGAACTTGGTCTCCCTATATCATCTCCTTTCTCTAAAGAAGTTTGCAAGGAATTTATTTTCCTGATCTAAGATGAGAAGATTATGGTTTTTTTTGAGATAATGTCTTGCAAATTATTCTGCCTGACTGGCTTTGAACTATGATCCTCCTGATCTCTGCCTCCTGAGTAGCTAGGATTACAGGTGTGAGCCACCAATACCTGGCTGTAAATTTCTTTATAGATATATATGTACATGTATGTGCATGTATATATGTGTGTGTGTGTGTGTATGTATACATTACACATAAGCACATAGACATAGAGGAAAAAGTAATTTGAGTTTTTCAATGGAATCCTTTATAAGGAGAAAGTGTTAATGCAGTTTCATTAATTATCAGATGAATACCTTAATTCTCAAGCTGAATAAAATTACTTTTTTTTTGTTTAGGCTCTTTAATTCATCCTAATTACCAGTAGTTTATTAACTATCCTATTTTTACTCTCATTGGAGAAGGTCAAAAGCAGATGATATCTACTATTATTTAGCAAACTGAGTTTTGTATGAGATGAACAGAAACCTGCTCTAAGAAGGCTTATAATCTAAGAAAAAAATAAAATGAGATTTTTCTTGGAATCCAATGGAAAGAATAACTTGCTATGTTTGATGATATTTTGATGTGATTAAATTTCAAAGTAGTGAATTAGAATAAACAATATAAAAACCGAAACTCATTCACTAAGCCAAGTTCTGCCCTTTAATATATTGAAAAAGAGAGCTCATATTATGTGGGCATAGCTCAAGGGAATTTAATGTAATTTTAATAGCTGCAACTGTTAATATTTTATATACAGTATTTTAATTAAGTTCTATATTTGCACACCACATTGGTTTGGTATAGAGCTGCCTTTTAAAATTGAACAAATGGCTACTCTACCTTTTATTTTAATTAAAGGATAATTCTGATTTTTCTGGTGAAATGTTAAGATTCATGGTCCAGTTAAAACTAACAAACATAGAATTTCAAGAAATAACTAATTTTACCCATTCTTTGAAAATTATTTTCCATGTGACAGAGATACAGTGTTGCTATGACAACACTGGGCAGTGTGGTCTGCTTTCTAACTCATAGATGATGACAGACCCATCTCTAGATTTCTCTGGGATACTCCAAAGCTGAACTTTAACACATTTAAAGAAACATTATCTCTGTGGCTAAAATAGTGGAACCCAAGCCTGAGAGTTTCTATTGAGCATACTAAATAAGGATATAATGAAGCACAATGTTCATTACTTGATGCTAACAATGATATTGGCTGCCTTAGAGATAAAGCCATATTTTTTGGACTTAACTGATATTTTAATATTCCCAGTACAGTTTATTAGGGCAAACTCATCTATAAAAATAAAGATCTTATTTACTTTCATATACACATTTCTAATACTTTCTTGGACATAAGAATTGCTCTATACATGTTTTGTATAAGGCAAAAAAAGAATAAAAATATGTGAATAGCACTGTATCAAAACAACACCTAATAAAAAGTGATATTATTTTTAAATTTAAAGAATAATAGCATTCTGTTACTTGTGAATGCAACTTTTTAAAATTTAAAGATGTGTTTAAGTTACATTACTGTTTGAAAGCAGTTTATATAATATAGAGCAATAAAGGCAGTCCTTTTATGAATGCAGCCTCATCTTCCAAGCACAGATATCTGAAATAATGCAATGAGAAAGGTAAATAATTGTGAGAGACCTTTGGTACAAGAATAAAAAGTTTTATGAGAACAGAACTTCTATTTCTGCTTATTCATAAGCTCCTTCTATCATTTGGTAAACATGTAGAATGAAAATTAACTAACTAGGATAACACTAAACTCTTTCTGAGGACTGGGATATTCAAACACAGTAAACCTGCTATTGACAAGGAAGGCAAATATCCAGGTCACCTGTCTTCCTAGTGGTCTGACTTTTGGTACGAAAGTGGGTATATGACTCCCTTATTTAATGAGAAAAGTACCTGTATACTTTTCTAGAACTACCTGAGTTTTGGCAAAATTAATTGTGTTGGATCGTTCCTAACCTACTTCCTCCTTCTATTCTGAAATACGGGAAAGAGAGAGTATGTTCACTCCCATATTTATCTAATACTCTTTGGCCATAGCTGTTTCTACACAAACACCAGGTAGCTTTCTTTTATTGCCTGCTCAGTCTATGACCAGTGACATGGGAGGCCAAGTGACAATTTTAGATTCTCCCCTAAGTTGGCAAGGGGGAAACATGCAAAGTACAGCATGATTTAGTGGATCAGAGTGGATAACTGAAGTGCTGTAGAAGTAGATATTCTCTGTGTATAGCTCAGCTACTAGGAGCAGAACCCTAAGTTGTTAAGTTAATCCATATGACTGAGAGGCCCATACTCTTGCCAGCTTTGAGGACTTAAATCTGAATATTTTCTTATCAGCCCTTTCTCCCTTTCCAGACTTGCTTTTCCTCTCTCCTATGGTCCCAATCCCAACATTAAACAATTCCCCAGGTATTAGTTAAAGTATGAATGTGCTCCAATTAGGATGAGGTTAATGACTGTTTTCTAGGGGCAGGAATATTATTTAAATTTGTTTTAAGCTTTTTGGCTCAGTCAAGGTTATTCTCTCAAGAATTTTTATAGCAAACTGCCAGTCATTTTTTTTCTTCTTGAAAACTATCATTACACGTTGAAATCAGAGAGAAAACTAATTATTCTTGTCAAGTTCTGCTTGTGTACAGCAGGGTTCAGCAGATTGTATCAGCAGTTATTCATGGGTAAGCCTACATTAAACAGCTAAGAAGCCATTGAGATTTGGATTGAAGTCATAGAGTTCCAGTTTAAGAACTAGAAATTATAGTGCGAAAGGCACAAGGCTCTCTCCAGAGCACATAATTAGAGGTTTGTAGTAATCACTGTTTGATGTGAAAGGCACTTTCTAGCTATCTGTTACTAACAGTGATTTCTGTGTGTACTATTTGTGAACCACCACACTTAGACTTTTCAACTTGAACAATCATTAGATGATTTCTCTATTTAGGTCCTGATTTGAACTTGCCCTCTGACTGTACACTTTCCTCCCATGGCTCTGCCTACTAGCCTGTTGCATACTTTTGAGACCATTTTAAGTACATCTAATAAATATACTTTATTTTGTATCTATCCATCAATGAGAAAACTGACATAGCTTATTGATAATTTATCAGTTACTTGACAAAATGACCAGATAGGGTCCATTTTGCATGAAATTTTATAAGTTTCATTAAATGAATATCTATATTTCTTACTCTGGTCATGTTTAAAGAGAAAGTCATTTGTCTTCTCCATTCTCAAAACACTTTTATTTTTGTATATTTTCTTTGGGCTAACATGTACATATATTTTATGTAGGTGCAATTATAGCATAAACACATTTCCAGGTTATTTGGTTAATATGGTATTATAAGCTCATTTTTTCTCAAGAATACCTAAGTAACATTTATTTTCTGAGAGTTATGGAATTGGAAGCTAGGATTCAGAGCAGGCTGTCTATGCCCCCAGGCTTGTAGGACTCAAATGTGCTGAAGTATCTAAAGTAAA